ATTCGGGACGAAAAAGCCGCGGCGGTGGGCGGAAGAGCCGAACGACCGGAAGCGGTGCGGCGGTATTCTCTTTGATACACCAAGGCGTAGCTTTTTAGAAGCTCGCAAGATGCCGCGTTTACGCGCTCGACGGTGTAAACGTTGACACGTAAATGATATTAACTCCTCGAAAAGTTGGGCGGTCTTATATACGTGGGAATAAACGCGCAAAGCGCATATCGCATGGCATTCAAAACGAGATATTTCGCATTAAATTTTTATCATTGTAGAATTTTTCTCTGGAACGATTTTCTCGATTTATATATTTATAAATGCATATGTCAATTATTCTTGCATGGGTCTAAAACCTAAGACCGTAAAACTAATTTATCATTATCAGTAGCTATGCTGCTTCTCAATTTTTTTTTTTTCATACGCTTCTCAGGCTCGTCAATCTTACAACAAAATGGCGATCTCGATTATAGGCGTTAATTGCCGACGCGAGAATATAATAGTAATCGCGTCGAGAAAGACTGGAAAAGCAGATAATTAATTTGAAGCTTCGGCTCGATCTTGATCGTACATCGTTCGGCGAACATAAAAGTGCATACCGCGTGTACGTAATACGTAATTAGTTAACCGCTCACGTCGTTGCCACCGCTAATTGACACCGGTCGCGCGTCGCCTCTCACAGGCATTTCTAATTACCGGTGTTTGCAAAGATCGGAGCAGAATCACTACGGTAGGTTTCGGTCGCGTCGGTTTGTCCCTGCACGTGTTACATAGTATGCTAATTGCGAATAGAAAATCGCTATTCTTCGCCACAACTTGGCAATAATTAAATCGCATAACTCTGTACTTATTAAACTTAATGAGATTGTTATTGCACATTATTCATAATTTATATATATATATATATATATCTTCCTTTATATCAATTCTTTTCTAATCATCCTTCTGAGAAAAACGGCGTTTATTATAATCTATTTGACGTTTAAAAATAGACATTTGACGAATTAATCCGAGAATGCGAATAAATATATAGCGGAATTAAGTTTGTACCTTGAATTTTATTCAGAGCTTAATGAAGACTTGATTATCAAAATGCTTAATATTGAAAATTTGCGGAAGCTTTATTTTCTCGGCGCTTATTTTGCCCGCCGAAATTCGAAAGCGATTCCCCTTGCGCCGGATCGATTAATCGAATTAACTGCTCGATCCGAGCCGCAGAAACGTGAATTGAGTCGCAACCTCGCCGAAAGTCGGGCCCGATAACACGATAACTGGTAAACGCGCGTGTGTGGTATCTCCCCACATAGCGCGTCGGTCGTTTCCGGTCGCGGGGATGAAAGCGCGGGATCGATATCGGATCGCGCATAAAATATATCGGGCCGCCGGAATCGCGTCACGCCTCGATTAACTGTTTCGCACGGCTCGCAATTTGTGCGCGCGCGAACGATTACGTTTACCACCCGCGGGATAATAACACAACGTACCGCGCAAATCGCGAGATTTTCAGTCCCCCTTTCCCCTCCCCTTCCTCCCACCCTTTCCGTAGCGGCGGCGGCGACGGCGAGCAACATTGCGCGTTGTTTTCTCTCCCGCGATATGCCGCGCTGTGTAATTACGATAATCCGCTGATGATATAATTTACGAGGCCGCATCGCTACCCGCGCATTTATCATACGAGGTAATTTCCTGCTTTATTATAATAATATCCGGGGTAATATGCCTCCGCCTGCGCGCCGAATACCTTCTTATTTTCGAGCACGCCGCTTCTCTTCGTTAACCGCCTTATTCGTACCGCCTTAGCGCGACGTTAATTATTTCGCGCAGTTTGCCGACTTGCGTTTTCGCGCCGCCGCGCACACACACGAGGAGAGACTACCAGTTAAATTAATTCTTTTAATTGCGACCGATAATTTAGAAATTCGCGCGCGTTAGAAAAATATGAAACGCGCGCTTCGCGAATCTCTAAGGGTGAAGGGAGAGATATAAAGTACATATCTAACTAAACAATAAGAAAGTGTTCTTAATTACAGTAGTACTTTTTAGTCTCTCTCTCTCTCTATCTTATCCAATTCTTATTAAAGTATCTTATACTATACAGCATCTTATAATATACATATATAAACTCCAATAATCATGGGAGATATTATATTTTACTATCTCTTTTTTCGATATTATACCACGATTTAATTGACAACTGACAACGTTTACAATAGAAATATTTAACTCGCTTCGTGCGAAGGATCCACGATATCTCGAGATTTTTTTACGGGAATCCGAATCACAGTTAAAGTCAAGACTTATCTCCAGTAAAATGCTGCATTCGAAACCACTCGCGAGATATTCGACGAAATAATATCTCGGGGATGAGGGAGGAAAAAGTGCCGGCGATGCAGAGTAAGCGAGCTCCAACCCTCATTCATCTTCGACGCTCGTTCCGGCCGAGGATAACATTATTTCGACCGTAATACTTCTGTCGGAGAATCGCCCAGCGGAAAAAGTAGTTCGATGTTGCAGCTGCTGGCGCACGCGTACTTTCCGGTACCTCGACAAATGGCAATAACGACGATAATAGCGCGCCGAATCGTGAAGAGGCGGGATAAAAGGAGATTTCGAGGGGATACAGACGTAAACGAAGACGTGCAGCTCCATCGCTTGCGATCGATACAGCTTGGAGGATGGGAAAGATCTTGATATTTGAATCGTTTTATTTTGCGTGTCTCTTATATACTTCTCGCTCCTTGAGAAATGGCGATAATTGCCGCTAGAAAAAAAAAACGTAAAACCGCTAGTGAAAAAAAGAATAAAGCAAAATTTACAATAATGAAGAATTGTTATACATTCCAGATTAATACCTGATCGAGTTTTTAAATTTTTGATTTAATTGTATCTTTAATAAAGATATCTTATCGATTTTCATCTTTCCGTATAAAAAAATTTCTAAGATTTAATTAGAGGGAGAGAGAGAATCTAATCTTTTTTCGATTTTCATTCAACGTTACAATTAAGCAGAATATTTAAAATACTTTACCTAGATAAAAATTTATAATGGTCTAATCAGCATTGATTAATTGAATTTTTATTGAAACTCTGGATTAAAATAGAGCCAAAAATTAATTGCAAATATTATAAGAGACTTTTATAGAAATGGAATCAGATTTTAAGGACATATAATACTAATATTTTTATTTTACGATAAATAACTGTGTTTTAATTAATAATAATACACTTTATAGATTTCATATCCAATCTATAGCAGAAATTAAATACGAAAATATTACTGTATAGTGATAAACAAAGAAATTAATATTCTTTAATTTTTTTATTTTATTGAAAGAATTTTATAATAGCTACAAAAAATATAATTTCTTCTTCGATTCCATAAAAATATGTCAATTCTAATTCTATATGTTTTAATTCTATTCTGATTCTCGATTAAAAACTCATGTTTAGAATAAGTTTAGATTTCTAATTGATATTATATCAGTACGATAAATCTATTTAGAACAAATTTAGGCATCTCTCAATCGAAATCTATGCTGTATATCTGGAAAAATCTTGGGAAATTTCTATACACGGATTGTAAAGAGAAACGGAGATACAAATATAAAATATGTTGGGAAATGTCTTGCATATCGCGAGACTGTACCACGACCTACATCAAAGAAACGCATGCGCATGCACTATCATGAAGAAGAGATGACGTACAGAAAGCTCGATAAAAATCGCCGCTCTAATCGTCGTGAGATCGACAACGTCGGTCGGAACGCGCTTTTTGCGGAAATATTCGCGAGTATCATGAGATGCCGATCTCTCTCGTATCAAACGGGAGAGATTCGGAAGATAGAGAGTACAATGTACAGTGTGAGAGAGCGGGATCAAAAATAATAAGAGCGTGATCGCGGCGAAGTGTAGCATATATCCGCGGTAGTAGACGTTGACGGGATTTCCCAGAGAAAAAAAAGGAGTATGAACGACGATATACTCCCACGCTTCTCTCTCTCTCTCTACTCGACGGCGGACGAACCCAGCCGAAGCGAGTAACCATCACCCACTCGACTACCCACCACCCTGCCAGCCAGCAGCGAGCTAACCACCCACCTGCGTTAGCCGCCACCGTTGCTCTGCCGTGTTTAAAGCTCCGCCAGTAAAACAATAAATTGAGCTCGAGTGAGAGGAGCGAGAAAGAGAGATGGAGGGAGGATGTGAAAGAGAGGGAAGGAGAGACCAGAGTCGCGGCATACTACTATAGCGCAGAGGAAAGCGGTCCCTGTCAGCAATTGCCCCCCTCTTGTAAGAAAAAATGGCAGCTGCCGTGGCTGGATGGCGCGTACGAGACCATAATACCGCGCACCACCCTACTTCGCTATGTACGTGCGGACGTACGAGCGCGCGCGAGCGCGACAGGCGGAGCGGTTCACCACGAAATTGGAGGGGTTAAAGAAGAGAAGGGAGAATGGAGGAGAAGGGACAAGGACGTCGAGAAAGAGAGGGTAGAGATAGACGGCGTGGAAAAAAGCGACGAGGAGGGACCAAACCTGGGTGAGCAGCTACGATGACGATGATGATGATGATGATGACGAAGATGATGATGACGACGACGACGACGACGACGACGACTAGAACGACGACTAGAACGACGACCACCACCAACTGACCAAGAGAGGGAGAAAAAAGAGAGAGAAAGAGAGAGAACCCAGCCTCCTGCTGATGACGATTTGAACATGTTTGTATGTATCGTCGGCCACCGCGGTTGGCAGTTTCGGTCTGACATGGGCGCGACAGAAAGAGAGGAACCCGAGTCGGAGGTGGGAGAAAGAAGGACAGGGTAATGACGTTTAGGGGAACCTCGAGGTGGGTTCCGCAAACCCGGGTGAGACCCTGCAGGCGGAGTTGGGTGCTGATCCCAGAGGCGGAGCGTTTTGCGGAGAAACCGCCCATCGGCACCCGCGGGGTATCCTTTCATCTCGCTCCCGCTCTCGGTGCTTCCACCATCCCTTGGACTCCGACGTCCGACCGAGCCGTGATGATCGCGTGGCGGCGGGTGGGGACCGAAACGAAGAGGCGACCGGCGGTGGCGCGGGTCAGTCTCTCGGGCAACCCGGTCGGTCTGTCGTTCTCCGCTCTGTCCGCGCCACGTTTCGCTTCGCGCGCTCTGGAGTGATAAACGACACATCAAGCCCGCTTTTCGCGCGCGCGACATAGAGAAAGAGAGAGAGGTGTATACCCTTCTCGCGACGACGTAATATAACGTATACCTCGAGGTCCAGCCACGCATCATTGACGAAGAGAGGTGCCTCTTCTATACCGTCACTCGCCGGCATCGTCATCAATCCCGCGGATCACGCTAAATGTCACGGCTAGCCACTTAGCGATCGTGCTTTCGTTGCAGTGTTGTGCTACGAAAATCCATCCGTCATCGAGCGATCAATCCGCGGCCCTCGAACCCACTCCTCGCACGCGTGCTCGCGCGCATGCCGACGACGAGAAATCGGAGTTACTCTCGCCGGCGGAGGAGATAATGCTGATGCCGTTTTATCGGCACTCGCGTATCGAGGATAGAAGCTCGCAACGTTTGCCACCGGATTGTTGACGTCGCGACGTCAAGCGAATCGGCCTCGAGACTCGCTCCGATTAGTTCGCCGATAGAACCCACGTGGCCCAGGAAGCAGCGCGCGAGGTGATGTTGCTGGAGTCGCGAGGCCTCGCCGGTAGGAAGAGAAACGGACTGACACTGACCTCGTTCGGCGACGGTGGCGGCGGTGGCGGAGGCGGCGGAGGCGGCGGAGGCGGCGGTGGCGGAGGAGCCGGCAGCGAAGAGGACGACGAGGAATCCCGACATCACCTCTATCTGGCTAGGAAGATGCAGGGCGAGGGCACCGCCGCCCCCACGGTACCCACCGGACTATCCGCCGGCGACGACGGCGACGAGAGCTCGAGCCCGTCGCCGAACAGCAGCCTCCTGAACAATCTCAATAATAATTGTAACTCGAACCGGCAATGCGCGACCGACTTCAGCATCGCCGCGATCATGGCGAGGGACTCGCGTCAGCAGCAGATGCAGCAACAGCAGCAGCAGCAACAGCAGCAGTCGCATCATCATAGGCATTCGCAGCAGCAGGCCGTCGGCGGCGGTAAACTGCATCAGCATGGTAAGTCTCTGCGAGATCGATAGGAAGCTCCGATCAAGAGAGCATTTTTGGAAAACCCATTTGGAGTGAGACGGACTTGGAAGTAATTGGTCGATGGCGGGATAATAGAAATGAGCATGCAACGAGATCAGATCATTGGAAAAATACTAAGTTTACGATATGTGATAACAATGGCTCGACCATTTATGTCAAACGAGAGATATGGTATCATCTTGGATTGGAATCTACGAACAGGAAGCAACCTCTTTATGTGGTTCTTGAGTAATTATCAAGAATTTTGTCAGTTGTCAATTCTATGATTAAACTCTTCGTTTTTTTTATAATACAATTGATACTTTAAAAAGTTTGATTTGTTCTTCTGTCAGATACTGTCTTTATACTTTAGATTGTTGAAGAGTTTCTGCAAATTTTGAAATTATTGCAAACTATGGCGTGGACGACAAATATAAAGCATGTTATGCTATAAGAATTTACTTTCTGAAATTTTCATTAAATCTTTTCATAATTTGATTATGTGATTTGAAACATCCCCATGCAAATTTTTACTTATGTATACTTTACGGATAAAGATTCATTCAGTGATTTTGACACAATCTGCAATGCGTTGCATTGTTACTGTGAATCGTTAAACATTTTCGTTTAAATCAGCATTTAAGCTATGAATCATGTATTGGATATTTGTATCTTTCTCTATTAATTTTCAGCCATTTCAATACTATTTAAGCAACTTTTTTTTTAAATGCACAATAAAAACTAGGAGCAGAGCTTAATATTACGAGAAATATTTTTATGCAATCAAATATTTGTACATGTTGTGATTTCATTTTCTCATATATGGTTTCTTATGTGTGATTCTGAATTAATTAAGCAACGTTTAACACATTTTTATCATATATATATATAATATCTATTAAAACCTATAAACATTTCTTACATGAAAGCGGAACAATAAATTGCTCTAACAGTATTCAAAGTGTTAAATATGATCATGAGTGCACAGATTACATTTCAGTGATATTAACTCTAAACTCGATCGCATTTATTTCTCTGAAGAGATTTCGCATAAATCCACGTCGCACTCTTGGCTCGCGAGAACTCGTTACATACCCGACATAATTGACATTTCATGTCGGTGTATCAACGCACGATTATTTTCGCCTATGTTGTTGCAATTATATTGTAACTTTAATTTTATTACCAGAAAATCTTTTCCAAGAGAGAGACAGAGATGCAGCCATCAATAATGAGATTAAATTTTCTCGTAAAAGTAATCTTTCTCAAAATCAGTCAAAATCTAATTTTATATATTTTACATACTTGTATTATAAAGAGTTATTTTATGAAGAAATTTTTTTTATATTTATTCATTTATTTAGCTCAGAAATGATGTCATAAACAATTAACAAAAGCTATAATATTTATAAATAATTGAACTCTTTCTCTCTTTTTCCCTCTGTTCCTCTCTGTCTCTTTTTCTTCTTCAAAACACCATTTATTAAAGTGATTATACACCTCGATCGATACACTAATGGTTCTCTTGAGTCCTTGTGAGAAATTTGCCTCGAGCTCGTCGTTCATTAATGGCCAGCAGCTTCATTACACTGTTATGTTTATTGTTATCGCGCCTCTCGCGAACGCATCGTCGCCGTTTCGGTATGATATTGCGCGACTCATAATTCTCTTCGCGCGGAGCACCTCTCTTACCTTGGCGCATTAACTCGAAGAAAAATCGCTCACCCCTTTCGGTACGGTCATTCATAACGTTTAATGCGGCCATTCCCGACGAAAATGAAGCGACTAGTCCATCGCGCGATTTTTGCGACGCACCTCCGGCCTACCTGTTCGCCGTCACGGCTCATTATTTTTATGGTCCCGTTAAAAACTTGCCAATTAATTTTCGATCATTAACGTTTATCATGCGTACTGTTCGTACTCGGATTCTTTCGAAACGACTCGATCCTATCTTATACGTGGATAAATGATAATGACGTTGGAGCGATTGCAAAGTATGTGAAATCAAAAAGTGATACCATTTGTCAAAATGGAGTACTTTAGCGTGCGTTTATCTATATGAGTGTACAAAATATTGCAAAACTTTCTATACATATAGGTATAATCATGGAATGAAAAGAATTAATTTGAATACAGAAGAAATTTGTCCAATTTTTCAACTTTTTTAAAAATTTTAAATAAAGAAAGTACATACATTTTACATTTGCTGTATGCAGTGCTTTTACATGTACTATCGAAATATCAGCACGAGTGAATTTTTTAGAGAGCTTATAGTTCTAGTTCTTAGACTCGCCAGCAAAGATGTCGGAAAACGAACGAGACATGTCTCACTTTTTCCTTCGATGCCGAGAAATAAAATATGGTGACAATCTCCTCGACGAAGCATGAATTGCGCGGAAAGTTTCCCGCTTGACGTCTTCTCGCGTTTAAATATTAATTCAGGAAGCGGCGGTGACGCACGTCGAAACTTTTATGCTGTAATTATCTCCTAGCCGGCGATTTTCAACGTTAACTATATGTATAAAACCTCTATGTCGCTCAATGTTTTTTTATTGTGAAAATTTTAACACGAATCATATTGCAGCGATAACATCTATTTGAAATTTTACAACAATAATTTTATCGGTGATACAATAATTAGGTATATAATTATTATTATATAATATTTCTTTTTTATTGTATATTTTTATTACAATAATATTGGTATGAAATTTTAAGAAATTTTATATATATTTTGAATTATAACACTATATACACTATAAAACAAATGAAAATTTATAATAATTTGCAATGTTAACGAAGACGGTTCATTTTCAAAATGGTTTCGTTACTTTACTTCTACTCAGTACTCTGCCAACATGCACATCAGATATTTGCTTATTAAAAAAGACATTTGCGATTATAAGTAAAGGGTTGAGATGCGACGAAACACCGCTCACCGTCGCGTTTTAATTCGCGCATTTGCGGACATAAAAATGTCGACGAAGAAAATTACAAGCTGGCGCGACGCTCTAATGAGGCCCTCTAATATAGAAATTGTTCCGAACTGTCATTATCGAGATAAATGGCTACAGCTTGGCATTGGGGACGAAAGCGAGTCGTTTTTGTGGGGAAACGGGATAATGATCCGTCAGTTTCGTTTCTTTTAACGACCGAAAAAGGCGTTCGAGGCGAGGATTTGCGCGGCAAAGTCGTTCCATAATCTGTCGCGCGCAGTTGGATAGCTATATCTCATAAATGGAAGATAAATCGGCCTAAATGATTACTAAGGGGTTATTGGATACGGTACAGAAATTATTGTACGTGGGAATTATTAACATTAAAAGCAACAATTTAATACGAATTATCATTTAAATGACACAAGTCAATATTACCAATAATTTTCTTAATAATTGCTACATTTTCTATTATCTTTAAACATTTGTTAGAAGCATTTCACAATCTGATTGCACTTTTAAACAAATATATTGTGTTGTTCTTTCTCAAAAAATAAAGCAATTGAGTATATATATATATATATATATATATATATATATATATATATTTTTAACAAGAAATTGAAATTTAATCTTTTAAAATTATTCCAGTACAAAATATATTTATAGTAAATTATCTTAAAAATCAACACCTAAAATCAATTGACTTTTAATCACATTAAACACGCCATAGTAGTAGTATTTTTTAAATCATTCCTTTCGAAAAGCGTACACGGAAATATTTGATTATGCGATCGATAATGAGGTTTGTATTGTAGCGAGTTCGGCGTCAATGTATTCACAATTTGGATAACGACCGTAAATTATTTCGGCATTAATGAATTATTTAACGCGCAACGGCGTGAACGGTAAACAAAGCGACCATCTAAATTGCTGAAATCCATTCTCGCGAAATAATCAGCCGGGAATATTTTATGCAAAAGAAGAACTGTGTGGCTGCGACATTTCGTCGCTTTAGTCATTCATTTGCGAAACATGCGTGACAATAGTATTCGGAATGCTATTGTGATTTAATTGTAAATGAATTACATTAGGCGTTTACAAGGATAAACGAATACAAATGAATATATTTATTAATACGAATAGAGTAATTAATTTAACATATTTAATAGATAAATAAATTTTTTCTTCAAAGAGCCAAAAAATCATTGTTGCATTAAGAGATTTATTTTGTATTATTTTTATAACTATAAATAAAAATGTTTATATTTCTTTCAAATAAACAGGCTTCTCCGTTTTTGTGAACTTGCTTTTCAGCACGTGTTAGGTATTATATCTTGTCGATATAATCGATTCAGATATGTGGGCGAAGTAGTATATATTTTTATCCCGCTAATTTGTATTCATGCGCGTGTATACGTTAGCGAATAGGTGAAGGATAATCTTGTTGGTTCGCTATGATTCTTTATATCGAAATAGACTTCATCGGGTATCGATTAAAAAAAACTTTGACAAAATTTATACTATCATGCGAGATAAGAAACACTGCATTATTCAAGAACACGTGTCACGCTTAATTGAAAATGTTACTCACATGTCAAGCGTGAATTTTTTAGAATCACAAATTTCGACCAGTCGAGATTCGAGCGGGCCTATTTAGGTGAAACGATATGGCGGGTGGAACAGCGAGATTTAAACTGCTCTATCCTCGAGACGCGCATAAATTGTTGCCACCACGCTAATGAATTATTTAACGCTCGTCGCGCGTCGATGAAATTCGGGTTGTGACTAGGAATACACAAATTTAATTTTATTGCTGTTTAATTTTTCAAGATTGATCCACTCTATACATTGCGAGCCTGCGAAGTAAAGTCATGAAGACGAAAATACACACTTATGTTGCACATGTATAAAAATATATAAAATTTATATATGTAATTAATCAAAATATACATGGGAACAATATACATTACCAAGTTATTAAAAGATATAATTATGGAGATAAGTAAATGTTTCCTGAAACGAGCGCACTTGACTTTATAGTATAAACAG